GTCACATTATAACGCCCCCACGGCTGAAAAGGCGAGCATGTTTGGTGGGATGGGGATTCGAACCCGCGACCCTCAGATTGCGAGTCGAGCGTCTTATCCACCTGGCCATGCCGGGCCCATGTTCGTGTGTAATGAATAAAGTGAACTTACTAGATTGATCGTGGATATTTTTTTTCCCGTAGTGAGCTACATGTCTTATAAGTTTTGTTTGAAAATAATTTTCGATGGATAAGTTATATGCAAATATAAACTTCTATAAATAATTGTTATATTTTTTAAATATTCTGTCATGAAATAAAATAATTATAATTCACAAAAATGACAAATATTTCTCTTAATGCAGGCGAAAAGAAAATCTTAGTTATATTTCTTTCAAATAATTTGAAAAGTGTAGTTTTTTTACCTTATTTTAATTTAATTGTGTATTTTACTGGAATCAGGCCGAAAAAAAGGGGGCCACTGCAGTGGAATATGGGTTTGTGTTCGGGGTATACCAGCTTACAATGTTCCTTATTGCACCGATGTGTGGTAAGATGGTGAGTATTGTATTTCATTATTTATACGTTGTTAAAGTTACCATCTCTGGTGGGGAAAAAAAACCACGTTGCACAATCTTAAAATACAGTTTTGTCGCTGAAAAACAAAACAAAAAAAAGATATTTGTTCAAATGAATCATCAATGTTTCTTAAACTAAATTCTCTTAACAGTTTTACAGTCGAAGCCTAGGCAGCAAATTGGTATTATAGCATTCCCTGACCAACACTTCGGCAGTAGAACGTGGACTGTGAATTGAACATAAAATGTTGCCTTATGGAATAACGCATCCTAAAATCTTAGGATAAACTATAATTGACAACTTCCAGTACAATCGGTGTCTGGTTGTCATTATTAATTTATATAGGTAACCTAATGTTAGGCCTCCAAATACATGCTGAAAGGTGGCGCCATTTGTTGCCTGATGTATAGAATGTGTAATTACACAAAGGTGGCGCCATTTGCTGTCTGATGTATAAAATGTCTAATTACACAAAGGTGGCGCCATTTGTTGCTTGATATATAGAATGTGTAATTACACAAAGGTGGCGCCATTTGTTGTCTGATGTATAGAATGTGTAATTTACACAAAGATGGCACCAGCTGTTGCCTGATGTATAGAATGTGTAATTACATAAAGGGTGGCGCCATTTGTTGCCTGATGTATAGAATGTGTAATTACACAAAGGTGGCGCCATTTGTTGCGTGATGTATAGAATGTGTAATTACACAAAGGTGGCGCCATTTGTTGCCTGATGTATAGAATGTGTAATTACACAAAGGTGGCGCCATTTGTTGCCTGATGTATAGAATGTGTAATTACACAAAGGTGGCGCCATTTGTTGTCTGATGTATAGAATGTGTAATTTACACAAAGATGGCACCAGCTGTTGCCTGATGTATAGAATGTATAATTACACAAAGATGGCACTATCTGTTGCCTGATCGTTCACGATGAGAAACACTTGGGATGGTTTGGCCAAGTTAGGACATTTTACATGTAATTCGCGGCTACATCACGTAAGGTTCTCTGATTTTCTTTGCACAAGAACACCATTTTAAATCGTTCTGTTATTCTCTAGTTCAGATTTTGCATTACTTATATAATCATAAACTATTTTGACATATTTATTTCCTAACACATTTACTAAGACATCACAACGTATTTATTTTCTTAACGAAACAATTTCAGTTCTATCTCGTTCACTTGAATACCAATAAGTCTATGCTTTTAAGGGAAAAAAAAATTTTGTTAAAAGTGTAACAGTTTTAGTGGATATACAAAGAGAATAATTCTATTCCTGAACAGTGTTTGTGCCATTCATTACTTGATTTAATTTTAGCTTTCATAAACGAACGTTTTTATGTTTAATTTATAATCACTTAATCACTGTTGTTTAACGAGTAAATATGTGTAACAGAACAAATTTAAAAACTATTTTATAAAACGTACTTAAAATTAGTTTTAAAAAACGATAAGTGATATAGTTTCTAGATGGATTCAGATCCTTTCTTATGTATCGTTTACGTTTGATTATAGAAAAAAAAAATATTGTTATATTTAGTATTCTAAAAGATACTATGTTAGAAAGAATAAAATATATAACTCTAGTAGTGAGTTTTAGTCTAATGGGTGTTTTGTTTTTCCAGATATCTCATATAACTCCTTCCTTCATGCTTAATTCCGGAATATCTATTATCGGTGTATCATCAGTTTTATTTGGGTATGTTTACACATCTGTGATAATGTATTCTCTTACTGTATAGTCTTTTCTATATTGTTTGTGTATGTTTACACATGCTTTACTCCATGACCTCCGCTAAATATGTTGAGGAAATAATTCCACATCAGTTACTTAAATGATGTAATACTTATTGTCCTTTTAAACATAGGCACATACACACAAATTACCTGTTATATACATCACAGTTAACAACCAGTTTTACATGCTTTAGTTTAAAAGTAATAGCACCAAAACCAGTTTAGAGCTTTAGATGTAGTAAGTAACACCAAAACCACTTAAAAGCTTTAGATGTATTAACACCAAACCCAGTTTTAGAGCTTTAGATGTAATGACACCAAAACCACTTAAAAGCTTTAGATGTAGTAAGTAACACCAAATCCAGTTTTAGAGCTTTAGATGTAATGACACCAAAACCACTTAAAAGCTTTAGATGTAATAACACCAAAACCACTTAAAAGCTTTAGATGTAATAACATCAAACCATTTAAAAGCTTTAGATGTAATAACATCAAACCATTTAAAAGCTTTAGATGTAATAACACCAAAACCAGTTTTAGAGCTTTAGATGTAATAGCAACAAAACTAGTTTTAGAGCTTTAGAAGTAATAGCACCAAAACCAGTTTAGAGCTTTAGATGTAGTAACACCAAAACCGTTTAAAAGCTTTAGATGTAGTAACAACAAAACTAGTTTTAGAGCTTTAGATGTAATAGCACCAAAACCAGTTTAGAGCTTTAGATGTAGTAACACCAAAACCGTTTAAAAGCTTTAGATGTAGTAACACCAAAACTAGTTTTAGATCTTTCGATTTAATAGCACCAAATCCAGTTTAGAGCTTTAGATGTAGCAACACCAAAACCGTTTAAAAGCTTTAGATGTAGTAACAACAAACTAGTTTTAGAGCTTTCGATTTAATACCGCATTCATCTTTACAGAATCAGTTGTATATGATACACTATACCCAGACTCAGCTTTGGTTCTGTTACGCTACATTCCTAGGTCAATATTACTGCTTTAATTCACCAGCAGGTGTCACTGTTATCAGATAAGCAAGTGCTCTAGGTAAGAATTACCATTAGAATATTTTCTATAACTCTTCATTTTTGTGAATTTACTATAGGAGTAGAGTAATACTTAGACACATGGCCTTTAATATTAAACTTAAACAAGAAAACATAACCTACTTCAGGAGAACAAAGTAATACTTAGACACGTGGCTTTTAATATTAAACTTAAACAAAAAACATAACCTACTTCAGGAGAACAAAGTAATACTTAGACACGTGGCTTTTAATACTAAACTTAAGCAAAAAAAACATAACCTACTACAGAAGAACAAAGTAATACTTAGACACGTGGCTTTTAATACAAAACTTAAGCAAAAAAAACATAACCTACTACAGAAGAACAAAGTAATACTTAGACACGTGGCTTTTAATACTAAACTTAAGCAAGAAACATAACCTAATACAAGAGAGCAGAGTAATACATGGACACGTGGCTCTTAATACTAAACGTAAGTATGAAAACGTATCGTGTAATGAATGACAAGACAGACCTATCACCGAATGGCATAGATAGATGTTTTTCCTTTCCTTAGCATCCTAGACCGTGCACCCTATGGAAATCCATTTGTTTATCTCGCAATAACCGTGAGAATAGCTGAAGGTGTCGGTTCAGCTGCAGCCAAAACATCAACTTATTCGATTATAGGTCTACAGTTTCCCAGCTCCGTGGCAACAACGTTCGTAAGTAGTTCGCGCATTTCTTTTCTTTTTTACTGTTTAAAACCTGACCAGAAATAGCCTTCGTTTCATTTCGTTCTTTTACTTCTATCTGAGAGATAAGTCTCCTAATACAACCGAAAACAGTTTATCAAATTGCTTGAAACCAGTACAACAGTAATTCAAAGTGATCACTTTTAAACTTAGTTTTATACAAATTTTTTAAATACAAAAAAACAAGAGCAATCTCAGAGATTGCATGTTCTCGCCCCGCCGCTACTTTTCGAGATTTCACCTTCGAAAACTCGGAAAATACTTCTCAGATGCAGAATTATCAACGATCCGGATCATTTTTTGTAGTATGAAGAGGATTCTTAACCTTAATGTGTCCATGAAATTTGGTTCAAATCCAATCACACTTTACAGAGTTATTAAAGCAAAACCGCGAAAATGCCCTATCAAAAAAAAAACATCATCGAGGATACGGACCGAATTTGGGGAGGAATGTTCCATGCTGACTTTCCATCTTGTGTAACATTTTCGTGTACATCGGTCTATTAGCCCCCCAGTGGCACAGCAATATATATGCGGACTTACAACGATAGAAAACGGGTTTCGATACCCGTGGTGGGCACATCACAAAGAGCCCATTGTGTAGCTTTGCGCCTAATAACAAATACACAAACATACTTTTACAGAGAACTGGTAATACCCGAATTGTAGATACAGTTTTAGTAATGACATGTTCAGACTTATCCCAGTGATTACGACGGAAAAACAGATTCTCTGTAGAATTTTTAAGACAACAAAAGACATCTTATCTCATCATAGATGATTTCTTTTAAAATTTTCATATCAATTATTTATGTTCGTATCAGATCCCTCAGAGTTTATATTATCGATATTTACTTTTGGATCCTGTTGTACAATAATGTGTTAATAGTTTTACACCAGAACTTGTATAAGAATGTGTTAATAGTTCTACAACAGAACTTGTTTGTGGATAACTCTCTTTTTTTTTCCTTTTCATATTCAAGTCTTTATTAGAGACATGTTTCGGAATTGGACTCATTATAGGGCCTACCCTAGGTGGCGCACTTTATCAGGTATGTACCATTTACTTCATGGTTAATTATCGAATAACGTCTGTGTTTCTTGTTTTTGCCATCAAAAGTAAAGAGGCTAAAAGTACAAATATAATATTATTTAAAAGCTTTTTGATTAAAATATAAATAAATAAAATCTAATCGACTTTTCTATAGTAAAAGCGCCCCCCAGTGGCACAGCGGTATGTCTGCGGACTTACAACGCTAGAAACCGGGTTTCGATACCCGTGGTTGGCAAAGCACAGATAGCCCATTGTGTAGCTTTGTGCTTAACTTCAAAGTTAATATATATATATAATTTAATTTAATATATAATTTAATCGATAATTTAGAGCATGATACCAGAAGGACTGCAATGTGATAATAACAACATTTTACGAAGTGTTATGGCCCGGCATGACCAGGTGGATAAGGCGCTCGACTCACAATCTGAGGGTCGCGGGTTCGAATCCGCATCCCACCAAACATGCTCGCCCTTTCAGCCGTGGGGGCGTTCTAATGTGACGGTCAATCCCACTATTCGTTGGCGAAAGAATAGCCCAAGAGTTGGCGGTGGGTGGTGATGACTAGCTGCCTTCCCTCTAGTCTTACACTGCTAAATTAGGGACGGCTAGCGCAGATAGCCCTCGTGTAGCTTTGCGCGAAATTCCAACACAAACGAAGTGTTATTTTATTAGTTTGTCATGAGTCGAAGAACTGGACCATGTCGTGTATTTTATCTTCAACTGACTTTTTATATCATCAACAAAAATTTCATTAAACCGAACTGTTGGCCTGCTTTAAAAAATTTGCCTAAAATATGTTTACGAAAATATTGCACATTATCTTTCAAGATCAAAAGCTTTTTCGAGTTAAAAAAACAAACAAACTTCATCTCTCTTGACTTGCTAATTTGAGCTGTGTATCATTATCCCAAAATTACCACCATGAGGATATCAATAAACATTCATGAGTACATAACATTTTCAAACAAAAAATACTGTACAGCTATATGGTGTAAACCAAGAGTGTCTCCATTAATCTATTTTTATGCCTGGTTTCGCACCTTTGGTGAAAGGACTAGATTTCGAAGGTGGTCATCAAAACTCCTTAAAAATTAATCTTTTCTTTCCTTTGTTCTTGGCTAATAACCTTCTGTTATAACACCAAAAAAAACGGTTTTCGATACCCGCGGGGGGGGGGGGATAACACAGATAACCCATTGTATAGTTTTGTGCTTAATAAAAAACAAACAATTAAATTGTTTTCACTAGCAGGCAGTTACAGTAAGACGTCCTTTAACTAGTTTCTGTGCCTTTCGGAAACTTTCTCTTTTGTTAATAATAACACGTTGATTTTTTTAAAAGCTCACATGCTCGTGTTTTAACCGCCATTGTTAGGGTTAGTACTGTAAATTAATTAACTGTAGTCCCCCGGTGGAACAGCGGTAAGTCTACGAATTTACGACGCTAAAATCCAGGGTTCGATTTCCTGTGACGGATATCTTAGATAACCGACTGTGACTTTGCTCCAAGAAAACAATGGCAAACTGTATTTTTGTTGTTTCAAATGTATTTTCGACAGTTTAGACCTGAAGAAGGCCTCAGTATAGCAGTTAAACCATCGTTTCATTATATAAACAGGCAGGAACGTCCATTTTAGACAAATCTCAACTAAGCTGTATTGTTTACACTGATTATTGTTGTGCTATACATATATACTTCACATAGCTATATTTTTACACTGATTATTGTTGTGTTATACATATATACTTCACATAGCTATATTTTTACACTGATTATTGTTGTGTTATACATATATACTTCACATAGCTATATTTTACACT